AAAATAACAAGAATCAAAATCAGGCCACAATGTTCCCAGGTTAAATCAAGCCAAGGGGCCTGAACTTCTCAGTTTTTCTTGGAATTTACTGATGCTTATGTTATGTCTGAGTCAGAAGTATACCTGGCAGGGAAGAGGAAAGATGGTGAAAGGGAAACAGCATGAACAGATCTGGGGCAGGGTGTGTAAGATTGTATGGCTGCCATTATGGGGTAGGAAAGATTAGTTGTCAAGGGCAAGACTACGTAGTAGCCTGTATCCAAATGATGGAAAATTTTAGTTAACACCTAAAGGTTGGAATTGATTCCGTAAAGGATAAGAAGCTGTGGAAGGTTTGTAATCAGAGAATTTAACATTCTAAGGTTTGTCCTGGTAAGATGATCCAAAGATGACGTGGTGACTAAAACGTAGAATTGTATAAAATGGAAATCAGGAAAATGAAACAATCTGTTATGCATTTCTCGTCAACATTAATGATCCCAGGAAAAAATAATGTTGATTCTAGTTTGAAAAACTGGTTTCCAAACCTTTTAGTAGACAATGTAATTTGTTAACAAATACTGAAACCTATGTATTACCAGAGGTCTCACATATTGTTACCTTTTAAAATGATCATTTGTTAGGTAATATTACCTAATGAGGCAATCAAAATGCCATCTGTTGGGTAGGTAACAGTGAACCATTAATTCTCACCCTTTGAGGATAGTTGAAGACCTTATCACATTTTATGGCTAGCAGACTCATGATAGTTTCATATATATATATATATATATATCCTTATCACAGTGTTTATGCCGAAAAATTGCAGACCAGGACAGTGAAGTCAGATTGCTCAACCCTGGATATCTTGAAAATCTCAAATGTTCTGGCTATTAAAAATGTCTATTCTTATGCTGGTAACAACATACATACACCATTTTTATTGGATATTCACTCATTGTCACTGCTCAAATAAACAGGACAGATGGCTTAAGAACAATTTCAAGAACTTTGTACCAGTTAGCATTTTTTAGTCTCCCCCAAAACACACATATGTACTCACACATATCATGAAGAGGAAGCTTTGAAATGAGGTACCCTGTGTCCTTGAATCCAATTATATACCTCGTGAGTGTCAGAAGATAAAAGACTGCTAGAAACTCCTCAAAATCCCCCTCCAGATAAGGAAATATCACAGTATTTCTCACTAATGAGGAAATACTACAGGAGTTCAAAGCAACTTGTTCTTATTATGTTAGAGTACAATGTAGAATACTAGGAAGCTATAAAAACTATAGTCCTGGGCGGTGCCTGTGGCTCAAGGAGTGGGGCACTGGCCCCATATGCTGGAGGTAGTGGGTTCAAACCCAGCCCCAGCCAAAAACTGCAAAAACAAACAACAATAACAACAAGAAAAAACTGCAGTCCCATGATCCTTTTCCCTATAAAAATAGTTTGACATATTTGCAGGTCTTAATGGAAGCACATTTGACAGGCCAAAACATTTAGTTAGTTTATAATGTATTCCAGGAAATCTGCTCATAACAGATTGGAAAGGGTAGAGCGTCTAATATAATCTGAAAATAGGAATTTTTTTACAGGACAGAAGACGTGATAGTAGGCAGAGTATTTCAAAATAGCAATATCTGATAAGGCCTTTGTCCTATAACACGATCACTCCTCCTTAACACCTCATCCAATTGGTTCCGGTTAAAGTTTCACATTTAATTCACAGTTCTTAGTAAATGTTATTCATCTCATAAGTCATGCTCACAATTCAATGAGGAAAAGGGAAATCACATTTAGGACACACCCAGTCTACCCCTCTGCAATTGATTCTATGTGAATGTTGCCTACTTTGAATTGTAGATATTATTCATGGTATAAGAGAACTTTTAGGTGGCATTTTGACTCTTTTTTTTTTTAAATTAATCCTTACTTGCATTTGGAGGGAAATATATAACCAGCATGTCATACGCATTTATAAAATAAAGTTACTTTTTAAGTGTAGTTTAAATTTTTATGAAGTGGGTCAGTGGAGAAAAATATCAAATGATATTATAGATAAAGTGTTAATATGGAAAAATAAAGTACCATTATGGAGATGGTGTCCAAATGACTGAAGTTTGGGAAACATCATGTTACAACGTGGTTTGATTCAACAAAACATATACAGATGGATGACCCAGTGAACTTGTACATCCGGAATATAGTTTATTGAAATGTGACAAAAGGATAGTAAGAAGTACCATACAACATTACACAATTCGGTGCATCAGGGAAATGCTGAGAGGTGACAGCAGCTTCTGGATCAAACACATGCTCTTCAAAGCTCTCCCGGCAAGAGTCACGTGGTTCCTAAATCCCAGTCTCTCCATAGCCAGGCCTCCTTGCTACCTACACACCACCATCTGCTACGTACTAAAAGGAATTTGGAAGGCAGTGCCATGTCTGCTAGGAGAAGCTTTTCATAGGTAAAACTATAGAACATTATCTCAGAAATGTTCATGTAAAGAATTGCCTTCAACTAGAGAAAGCTCTGTGGTATTAAATATATACTATTAGTTTATTCTATTACTACCTTAGTCATTAGGCGTAGAAGCAAAATACAAATTTAAATCTCAGTGGGTTGATAATATTGGACATCTTTCCTTCTCTGTAATAGTAACCTTGATGCACTGATTCAAAAAACTTTGAGTATTCTGGTTAGTTGAATACGTTGTTAAATTCCCCACGTAAGGTTAAGGGACTACATATAATGGATGATATATGAGCCATTTGGGGACTGTTACACAGTATTTAGAAGATGCCCAATTAATGTGGTAGAGTTTTCAGAGAGAGATTCTAGGCATATGTTGAATTTTGAGCAAGTAAGTGAGGCCACAACCTCTATGTGTGTGAAGCAGACAAGGGTGTGGCAGCAGGCGCCGTAATCTCCCTGGGACAGAGACCCAGGGCAATAGTGCAACCCAAGGCTGATTATTTTGGGAGAGTCAAGCAGTCAACATTCAGCCATGACAGTTAGTAGTCTGTTTTGTGTTTCTATGAGGAAAATATCTGAAAATGAGTAATTTATAAAGAAAAGAGGTTTATTTGGCTCACTGTTCTACAGACTGTACAAGAAGCATCTTGCCGGCCTCTGCTTCTGGTGAGGGCTTCGGGGAACTTCCAACTGGGGTGGAAGGTAGAGGGGGAGCAAGGATGTCACATGGAGAGAAGACACAAGAGAGGGACAAGGACATGTCAGGCTCTTTTAAATAACCAGCTCTCACACGAACTAATGAAATGAAAACTTGCTCATTGAGGGAGCACACCAAGCCATTCCTGGGAGGATCATCCCCTGTGACCCAAACACTTCCCACATGGCCCCATCTCCAACATCAGGGATCAAAGGAGGGGACAGACATTCAACCCCCATCAATTACATTCTGTGATCATTGTCCTTTTCCTTCTGAAATGGCAACTGGCAGCTATATGTAGACCTTTCATGAAAGAGAACACGATTTCAAATAAATATATAGTTGGTTAATTTTACTTGGTTTTCCTTTTTTCTTCATTTTCCCACCTTAAAATTCCAAGGGAGAAAAAGTTAAGCCTCTTCCTTCTAAAGTCCCCTTCTCCTGCTCTAAAAGTGAGCAGTCTCATAACCCACTTTTAAAATTCTAGAAATATGTGATGAGTTGACCTACCCTAAAGTCACCAGCAATTTACTAACCATGGAGCTGTGCAAAGAAGCCCTGAATGCCCCTTGGGAGACATAAGACAACTGAAAAGCTTCAGGGAGTCACTATGGAAAGCAATTTATTGGCATTTACTTTAAGAGGGCTGAGAGTTGCTGAAAGAAAACCAAATCACAATGCACCTTGCGGTGTGCCCAGGAAAAGACGCAGAGTTTGTTATAATAAGTAACCAGGGCCTCTGGCGGACGACTTACCACGTTCATTTTCCGAGTTGTTTGGGTGGGTCACCACTGCACTCCAACATCCTGTCTGCAAATGCTAAATAAATACCAAGTTCACGTCAGACTGGAGAACCAACGTACTAACTAGTGTCAATCAGAGTGCTTAGATTGTGTTCACTTGGTAATTCATCTCCAAAGGAATTGAAGTTTCTACACCCAGAGGAATATATGTCCTCTGTGGAGATGTTCAGAGAGTTAGGCAGGGGGTCCAATGTTCCTTCTGTTAGGAGGTAGTGGAATCAGCTTAGATTCTAACCACTATGATAGAAAAGTTTTTACTTCAGATGTAGGAGCCGGGGCAGGTTTTAGTCTATAAAATGATGAGACGTTGACAGGGTATGAAGCTTCATTCCTTACTGAGGAGCTGTTAAGAATTAGCAAACATAGAGTCTTTGTGTAAGATGAATGAAATGTGCATATGATTTAAAAAAAGGAGGTTTAGAAAACAGTGTGCAGGGAAACATTCCCGGTACTTGTAGCCACCTGCCCCGCAATAATACATTCGATTCTTCAGTTTAAACATCCCAGCACGGCCCAATGCGAGGATGCCTGTTACATTGCTAAATTGTAAAAGGCAGTTCACATCTCTGCAAATAACTTCAAAGCATGACATTTTATTAAATCTCCAAACGAACAGCTGCTAAGTGCTTGAGCCCTCTCCACTTTGCTTCTGAAGAGAAATGTTAATGTTAGTGCCTCCGTGCAATGCCTTTGAGAAAAGGACTTTTCATTTCTCTCTTTCTTTTGGAAAACAAACAACTCAGCAGCAAGGGGTGTGTTTCTCATAAAGGTGCTCACGGAATCTTACTCTGAATAACACAGACACCTCATTTCCCAGTTTCCCAGAGGAGGAAATGGTTTTAAAGTTGTGAGAGATCTCCAGTCTGCCCGCCGGTTGACTGTCCCTGTCCCTGGCGCTGGTCCGCCCCTTCCCTTTGTAAATTCAGAAATTGACGGACCGGGCAGGCTGGGCGGTGTTTTTTTCCCCCTTTCTCACTACCCTGCAATGTTTTGAACTGCCTTCTTACAGACGTCATTCAGCCCTTGAGGAATAGTTTCTGCCTGGCGAGATTGAATTGATAGTTCTCATTCACAAAGCCTTGGATTCTGAGCTGGGGACACAACGGAAATTACATTCATAGGTAAACCATCCCACCCCCGGAGGGTGGAGAGCTTGGATCCTTGGGTGACTTCTTTGCTCCGCAGAGTGTTTTCCTATGGTCGCCCCGAGATGGAACTTCCTTGACATCGCTCCCCTGTTACAGTCCTTCCCGGTCATTTTTCTTTCCCTTTTCTCTACCTGAGTACTTTCAGAGTTGAAAACCTTTAAACCTGTTATTTTGGAATTGCAAAAAAAGAAGAGCTCAAGGGACTCTTTCACTGTGCTGGTTTCCCTTGGTGACCCAGAGGAAGAAAAGATTCAAAATTCATTTCCTCCCTGGGCATTGCAAGACAGAAAAGAAACTGTCACTTCCGAACAGCCCCGCGCTGGAGTAAATTCAGCCTGAAGGAGGAAAGCGCGCCTGCTTGTTAGAACCCTCCCTAGGAGCTGGACTGGGAGCGGGAGGTGGACTTTCTTCAGAATGGATTGCTGCAAGCAGACTTCCTTGGGAACGGAATCTATTTAAATACGCCTTTGTAGAAATCCAGGTGAAATGTATTCATCAGAATAGTTGAAGGCTTTTTTTCTTTTAATTTTTCAAAATGAGCATTGTTATGAAGCCAAGATCCCGATCTACAAGTTCCCTAAGGACGACAGAGGCAGTTGGGTAATGTGCTTTTATTTCTCATGCTTCTCCCTTTTTGCCCTTTGAAGACTGACGTAGTACTTGAGTATTTAGCAATGACCGGTGAGGTGTGTGATGTTGAGACTCTGCGAAAGAACATGGTATTGGTGGCTCTTCCATTCTCTATTTTGTTCCCAGTCGCCTCTGCTCTAACCAAAGAGGCGCTTACATATTTTTTTAACTCCCGGTGGACTATAGCAATTTATTTGATGATGATTTTTAAAGGAGAAAGAAACTTGCAAATACGTTAGGAGTTTTGAAAGTGAAAACTTGTCAGTTTTCACTGACTGATAGGGTTGCTTGTTTTCTCATCTTTTTTTTTTGCTTGCTGCAAGCAGGCTGGTAGTTGACAGGCTCTGTTCTTATCTTTAGAAGCAATACCTTAACTTTTAGCACAGAGGGGTTAGAAATGAATAATGTCAAGCATATTTAACATATACAGAAAACAATTTAAATGTGGCTAAATGTGTAGCAAGTTGCTTATCACTTGGTCATCTCTTAGGTTATGTTTGGCTGATAATATCCCTTAGTGATTATATTTTTTAGCAATGTTAATGCTTTCACGCTAATGAAAAGTATATCTATTCTATTTCCTCTAATATTTATTCTATCATTTTCTTAATGCTGATCCGATAAAAGCTTGTGGCATGGTCTATAAGGACTATTTTTCCAACAAAGTAGCTTTTGCGTCTTGAGGAGCTATTTCCAAAATATTTTTATAGCTGTTTCAGAGGTTAATCTTATTTTGTTTGTCTTAGTAATGAATTGTAAATTAATAACTAAGCTCCCTTCTTTGAAGTGGAAATAATCAAGCTTCAGGTAGGAGAAATAAAGCGATGTTCGAAGGGAGGTGACTGGGGATAAGATGGAAACAGGCAAGCAGAATGGGTTATGCAGGATCACGTGAACAGGCAAGCACGCATGTAAATACTCAAATGATTTGCGTAAGGAATTCAGCCTGTTTACGTGGATGGGTTATGCTGTATTGTACTAGTGTTTCATTGGGACTGGAAGTGAGACTTGTTCTTTTAGGAGTATGTTTCTGTGAGTTTTAAGAAATGATCAGTGAAGATTTTGGCTCTTAGGTTACGTGTGTCATTCCTTATTAAACATTCTTCCTTGATTTTCTTTGAAGTTTGCATCTGCAAATACATTTGTAAGGTCCTTTTTCCCCAAACAATAAATACTGAAAAATACTTAGTATCCTTTTATGAATTACCGTAGTTAATATAAAACTCTGACATAGGTAATCAAAATTCATAAAATCAGTGAATTTTACTCATTTATGATATACACCCTGTGGGAAAAAGAATATAATATTCAAACAGATAATATTTAACCAAATTATTTTCCTTTTTGCCTAAACCACCTGGAGATTTACTTTCAAATTTGGGGCTCAATTGGCAATAACTCATTTCAGGGGACTACTGACTTTGACACCCTTTGCTCCTCTGAGATTGTCATAGTCTATTTTTGTGGATAAAAAATAGCCCCACAACTATTCCATTTTATTGTTTTAAATTGTATGAGACATTTTCGTAAATAAGTGGGGCCACAACTTAAAATGTATTTTTAAAACTATGCATTTTTAACTACTTGTTTATTAATGTATGTCCCATTTAACTTTAAATATTCTGCAGTGTTGGGGTCACAATGATTTTGGGTTAAGAAATTAATGTCTCTCTTTATACTGATGATTCTTAGATTTAATTGCTCACAACAGAAACCTCTCCCCAGTTATTAATCTGCCTTAACAATATAACTGCTTGGGTGTATCACTGCGGCTTCCAGATAATTTGGTGTGAGGCTGTAATAGCTGTTAATTATGGCTTTAGCATTTTATTATGCTTGGTGTCATTCAAATACTATATGTACATATTTATATTTATATATGATAAATCAATACAATTATAGATTACGTATATAGAGAGAAACTGTGTGTGCATATATATGTACACGTCCACACGCGTATGTTTACTCAATTACAAAAAAGAAAAGAAAGGCACGAAAAAAGCAGGTCTCTCTCCCTGTGCCTCTGCACATAAAGGCCACAGGCCTCAGAGAGCTCAGCTGGACATGGTCTTCTCCTCCCCAGTGTTCTTGTTGTAACTTCTCAGCCACTCCTGCCTCATCTCCCTTTCAAACACTAAAGCCTACTTCATCCTCTCTAATAGTTGACTTCCCATAAGTGAGATCTGCCTTTCTATTATTTATCCCTTTTCAGATGTTTGGGGGTTTGGGGGCTTGTTTCATTTTGATCTTCAGAATACTTTGGGGGACCCACCTTTGGGGGATCCATCTTTTGGCTTTACCTCTGGTTAGGTAAATTTATTTTCTGTTCCATTAGCTCACTGTCTCCAAATCTGTCTCCTCTCTCCTGGGAGGCCCCGAAGCCAAGAGAGCCAAACACTACCTTGGGAAGTTCATTCTTGCCTTTTCTAAGAATCCGGTGCTTTGTTTTTGTTTTTTTTGGCCCAGGCTGGGTTTGAACCCGCCACCTCTGGCATATGGGGCCAGCGCCTTACCCCTTTGAGCCATAGGCACCACCCCAAGAATCCAGTGCTTTAGTGACTTCCTTACCTTTTCCTATTTGTTTATCTCCAACAAGTACTGTAAAAAGCAATCCACACTAACTTGTCTAATTAAATCCCTTTGACAAAGTCACATTTTAAATGGTATCTCATGGCAAACTTATAATGACGTTTTATGCCCTTCCTCTGACTTCATTTACTCAGAAGGCTTGAAATTTTATGAATGTCAAGAAAAAATTAAAATAATCTTGAAATTTATTTATTTTCTTATAAGTGTCACAAATTTAAAGTATATATAAGAAAGGTATATTCAAGCTTTCTTTTATTTATTCAGTATTTAATGAGTGCCTACTGTATGCCAGGAGCTAGCAGAAAGTGTTTATGGTATTTATTCTTGAACATTTCTTGAAAACATTTCATGTATGAAATTAATAAAAAATGTAATATGTGTATTATGCTCATGAAGTTAATAAAATTAGCAGATTCATTAATTGGAGCATTATTTGCCTTTCTGCTTCACTTCTTTTAGTAACAATATTATGCCTCCAAATTCTATATAGAAAAACAATAAGATAACCACATTTCCATAAATATTTGAATTTTATGTCTTAAATTCAGATGCCTTAAATTCAGTGCTTATACATTCTAATAACATTACCATATATAGTCCTTGATATCTCTATTATTTTGCCATGTATAAACATATTTCAGAGACACTTCTTATTGATCTAATTAATATTTATTTAGTTTAAGTAAAAAGTTATAAAGAGACCTGGACTTTGTTCTATCCTGCTATCAGAACATTCAACATTTAGGATTTGCTTATATTTAACATTGTTCATTATGTAATCTGGGGGAAAAGAGAATATGACCATGGCTGGTTTTAAAGAAAAGTTTGAAACTGAATATGTTAAAATTGTACTTAGGTTTATAGACATAGAGAAAAATATGAAAGGCTCTATTCTGAGCCTCTGAGAGTGGTTACTTTGTGGTGGGGAAGAAGAAAAATGTTAAAAATGAAAGTAGGGAGATTTTCTCTTTTACCCCCCTTTATTTCTATATCGTCTGGGAGTTTTCATTAAGAATGTATTATACATGAAAGTTTAAATTATTAAAAATGTACTGATAACTACCATGCGCATTTAACAGTCTTGTCTATATGTACGGATATCTATATATCCATTGAACAACAATTTGCTCAGTGTACGGAATATAGTAAACATTTCAATACTGGGCAGATACAATTTTCTGAATTATTTTGCAGCTCAGCTCTAGTCAATAAATGACTTTTGTGCTTTTTTTTTTTATAAGTTCTCTTAAGTTTGTAAACATCCAGACTAGGTGAGAATTCTTATTTTAGCCTCATGATCACCATGGAAAGCATTTGCTTAAGCTACAAGGACTGGTTTTATAATTGAGAATAAAAAAGATGTAATAACATTGATTGATGTGTTCGAGAGAGATCACTCATAAACCCCATTCTACCATCCCCAACTATTCTCATTTTCAACTTCATGTATCATAAAAAGTTCTCATACTATGCTTTTGCCTTTAACATGTCAATTATCTTTTCTCTTTTTCTAATAATACTTCTTTCATTTTATTGAGTATCTTTTATGACTAAGAACTCCGTAAAGGATTTTACAAGCAATATATTGTTTATAATATATAATATAATAATCTAACAACAGTGAAAGGAATGAGTGGTTAATCCAAATTTTACAGATGAGAACATGAGTCTACCCTATGGTGTGAAGGATATGAAGTCATTTGAGCAAAGTCATATCACTAGTAACTACCAGGGAAGGTTGTCTGTCTACCTCAAAGGCAATGTTTTTATTTCAGGAGGTTACCTCCCTCTATTGAGTATGTAATTACCTTTTTTAATGGCTGTAAAATTGTCCATGTTGTGATTAGATCTAAGGTACTACAATATTTGGAAGTCATCTTTTTAGAGGTATTATACCCTACAACATTTAGGTCTAATGTTGGTTGTTGAAAAATGGCTTTTTGAAAGACTTGTAGTTGCAGTCTTCAGGCCATTGTATTCGGTACTGGTAGTATATAAGGTCATCTGTTCCTTGCCACAGAGAATAAAAAACAAAGGTCAATGCCTCCCAGTTTTGAATATATCATCTTTCCAATTATATTAGCAAGTTTTTCTATTCTCTGCAAGCTGTAAGACTTCAGGTTAGAAACAAGCACTGTGTCTCAGATGCTTTATGGTTCATACTTTTTTCAGTAGTTTTGGAAAAGGGACAAAGTTTTCTATATTTTTTTATTGCAGAAGTCTTGGAATTTGCATGCTTTCCGTCTGTCCACTACATATTGTGACGTGGCTTAGGTAGGCAACTGCTGTCAAGGCTGACTCAGAGTTTTGAATATGCCATCAACTTTTTGATCCTATTTTCTAAGTTAATGCTGCATCTGTTATGCAATAGACCTAACAGC